AAAGCTATTAATGTTGTGTATGGGGGTGTTTGAAAGTTTGACAAGGCGTTTGAGGGAAATACGAACAAAAATCAAAATTTTTTTATTTTCTGGCCGCCATGTTGAGGTTTGATCAAACCGCTTACGTTGTGTATGATAAAATCGCTTCATTCGCAACGGAATTTTTACCGAATGAGAGCGCAAGAGAGAAAATTCGAAGAAAACCAAACCCTTTTACATTGTGAACCGGAAGAAAACTAAAATTCTTTGCTTGAACGACTCATGTTTGCATGGTGTATGGCGAAATGGGGAAATAATGTTTGACAAGCCGCTTGTGTAGTGTATTTCGCTCTTCATAAAACTTCGGAAAGCTTTTTTTTCAAAAATTTGAGGAGCGATTTAACGAATCTCTTGTGTAAAACATGGTTGCGCAAACATATCTTGAGAAAATTCCTCAAAATAAAAATCCTCAAAAAATACTCAAGCTCACCCGAAATTCCTCACGTTTTGAGGAATTACTCAAAAAGTGGCAACACTGTGTGTGAGTTGATCTTCCACAACGGAGAACGGCTAAGGAGATAAAAGGAGAAAAACCTGCCTAAGCCAGCAATGCATACAGAGGCAATGAAAACCGGCAGAAAAAAAGGTGTAGATCTTTTAGCGAAAATGACTCCGCAGCGAAGAGCAATTTTCAACCAATAGGAAGGCACGAGCGTTTTCTCCTAAGAAGCAAATACTGCGGTCCGATCAACAACAGAAAAACACGGAACAGCCGACAACCAATGATAAAGCTGCCGCGACGAAAAATAGCGAAATTCGATCGTTAAGGAAAAATAAGAAACCTGCCAAGCCCGACGCCATTGTAATCAAAGCCTCCGGCGAATATTCTTATGCGAATATCTTGAAAAGTGTAAAGGGAGACGAGAGTCTTAAAACGATGAGCACGGCCGTTCGGAAAATTCAAAAACCGCCAATGGCGATCTTCTACTCCAGATAAGTAAAACCGGCGACAAGGTGTATTCAATAGGTTGCTGTTGATTGGTTGGAGCAGTTGATTGTTTGTTGTTTTCTGTTTTCTGTTCTCTTTCACATCCTTCGTATGAAATTTTTGACAGTCCTCGTCGCAAAAGCAAAAAACAAAATACATGCACATTTTGTTATTGTCGTACCGATACCACCTTATTGAATACGCCTTGACCGGCGATCCAAACACCGCCAAACTACAAACCGCTGTCGGAGAGATGCTATACGGCAAAGCTGAGGTTAAAAGTCTAACCCAGCAGTCCCAGGTGGAGATTCACGATATCGATGAGGTGACAACAAACAAAAATGATTCAACGGGTTTCTCCATGCTAACTGATTAATATTTTCGAATTAGTTCATCATCAACCCAGTTTCTAGCTTAATTGATATCAGAAAATAAACGAGTTTTGAAACGTGGATCACAAAATATGGCAACAATGAAGCATTACGGAACGATGCCGAAAGCGGGACGATATATAAGCATGCACAATAGTTCGGCGTTCATTGTTGTTTATCTTTTGTCTTTGACTTTCTCCTCTATTTACCAAAAATAATCTATAAATCTTTTTAATACAGGATGATTTTATAACTTGGATTTCAGGGGAGATAATTTGTATTCTTTATTGGAGCATTCCATGGTTTGTACGGGACAAGTCGTACGAATTTTTATCGTTTCCGTATTAATTAAAGACAAATCTAAATCTTATCAAACAAAGTATCTTGTACATCAATATTGTGTGGTAAATTTCGAAACAAAAACAGAAACTTGCTTTAGAAATATTCGTAGTTGAAATAAGTTATATGTTTGTACGGGACAGCTCTAGTCCACCATGATACTTAGTTACTGAGAGTCAGATGAATTTTCAGCGAAATTAATATTTGAAAAAAAAAAACAAAAATTACCTTTGGTAGCACTAATATCAAAGTTTATTAAAACAACGAATGATGAAAAATATATTTATTTAGAAAAAATTATAGTGTTACAATGAAATTGTTTGTACGGGACACGCGTGTTTGTACGGGACTCGTACGAAATTCAGTTTTTAAAATTTGATTTGCACATCTTCTATAGGAAAAAGTTGATGCTGTGGTTATCAAGAGCATGTTTTTTTGCAAGTAACTTCTCGCCCATTTACTGATATTTCATGAAATTTAGATATTCCGGGTATAGGCTTGGTCAATTCCCAGGGATGAACATTCTGAATTTTTTCAGCTATTTCTGATTCAGAAATATAACAAATGGTTGTTGAAAGAACTAAGGTCGCTGCTAATGTTGCAAAATCATTTGCATTTTGGATAACGGTGTCACTCCCTTGACTTCGAGCTTTTTGGTTTACGAGCCGTTTTACGTTACCACCGACTCCATATATAATGCCCTTGCCTGGGAAGTGACAAAATATTTCCATTTGAATTTTTTGTTATATTTTTCAGAAAGAAATATCAATAACGTAACCATAAAACGATTTTTAAATTCAGAGGAAGGACCATCACTCCGTATAATTTCTTGAAATGCATTTACATTATCGGCAAAAATCTTCTCATATAAATATGTCCCGAATGTGAAAATACTGTTTTTATCTTTTTGCTTTGAATCTGAGCAAATCACAAAAGTTTTGCATTTTGACATACAAAACGAAGCAGCAGTAAAAAGAGTAACACTTTCTCTGCTCCACAAAGCAGACTGAACCTCGTTTTGATATGCGCAAGAATAAGACATAAGTAGCAAAATCAATTTGAAGTATCCTCACATGATCATTATTTTTATCCATCTGAAATTCTTGTGATTGTATTCTTTTTATGTTCACATGATACATGACACATGGTAAATCCGAAATAAAGTTTTTATGCAACTCCCCACAACTGATTTCTTCAGTCTTAAATTTTACTCTTTGATCATCTCCTTTTTTCCAATGTTTACAAATTACATTTTTTTATGGATCACCAGGTAGTTTCATTTTACCTCCAATTTTACAACCATCACAGGTATTCCCCCAGCAATTAGAGTTCAGCACCGAGTTACATAAAATGTTACTCCAGTAGGAATTGTCGTAGTTAACTTTCAAACATTTTAACTTTAGAATAAAATTTTCGTGGATTATGCATTTGCACTGCTTCCATCGGAGTAGCAAAATATTTCTCGGTCGTAATGCACAAAATTTAGAAAACTGTACTTTAATATCCGGAAACTCTTGCTTAAATACATGAAAAGCTTCGCGCAAGAATAAAAAGAGGTAATGCTTCTGTAATGTCAGCTTTTTACCATTAACCTAAGTGACCATTGTGTCGTTCATACCGGGACATGTATACACAATATCTGGACGAAAGAAGAAATCTTTCACCGCTGTTGCGGTTTCATCAACATTTAGTATCTCATTCATAGAATTCTTCATTTCGTTTCCAACTTTTATTCCTATTTTTTTGCCACACCCATTACTACAGCTTTTTGCTTCGTTGGTGAATTGGCCAAACTTCTCACACACTTCTGGACGGCTTTTGCAAAGGTTTGCTTACACTTATATGGAAAATATTCAGAATTTTCTACAGAACTATTTTCACAATTTCTTTCAATAGTAGAATTAGCCGAATTACCAATATTTGCTACTAATTTTTTTGCTCTTTGCACTTTCTTTCTATCTTTCTCATACATCCTCCGCTTTTCCTTTTCTTGTTGTGTCATGGCTTCCACTTTTCTTTTTCTCCACTCTTTAACTCGTTATTTTTCCTTGTTCTTAAAGTCAGAATCATTATTTTCTTTCTCGTTTCCCCATTTTCTATAACGCGGTGTACTATTACTTTTATCAACTTTGTCCATTTTTAAATAAAGCGAAAAAATTTGGTGTCGCGTTTGTACGGGACAAAAATTAAACTATTACGCTTTAGACTTTGAGCATTACTAACAGACAGCAATACCTCACAATTAAAGAGAGCACCAATCAAGGCCGTATTTAGGGGGGTTCTAAAATTGGAAAAAAAGGTGGTGAAATATTTTTTTGTTTAGATAACCAAAGCCTCGGAAGTAAGAATTTGCTAATTTCAAGTTGACTAAACTTTGAGCTTCCGCACCAGATGAAAAAAAAGAAAGGCTGCCTCCAGGCATCCTTGCCGTTAAGGTATAAATAAAAAAGGAAAGTGTTTGACATTTTTTGGCTTTGATTTTCACTAAAAGACGTTTATGTCAATATGGATTGTCGAAACATAATTAGTTTTTAGGGTTATAATCCAGAAAACAGGTTTTTGCACCTTAAGATCGTAAAAACTTTGCATTAAACCCTGTTTTGAATCCTTTGCTTATATTTTCCCAACTCACACCAAGATCCATTCCTCCCCTTCAGGATATATAACATCAGCGATCAAATCTATATCGTTGTGCTCATCTTCGATGAAAAACTCACTGATATATTCATCTATATCTGTTAAATCCATTAGTTGAAGCTATTGTACCCCAGTACAATCAGAGAATCAAAGCTTTTTTGTTCTAAAACCACATCCATTGGTTTTCGGTTCTATGAAAAATAATAAAAAACAATGACGTGCATAATTATAAATTGAAAACAATGGCGATAAAACCAAAAGTCGAAAATGCATGTTTTGACGTAAACAGGCAAGGCTGCCTTTAGGCCGCCTTTACATTTTCACATCTGAACCACGATTGCGAAAACATACACTTTTCCGCATTTACTATTAAATTTTGGATCGAATCTATTGAATAAAACTTTGGCTACTTGACCTTTAAAATTTAACTTTCACTGGAATTCATTTTTGAGGCTAAATGACTATACTTTGACAGTAAAGTGAGAATAAATCCAATTTTAAACAGCAAATGACAAAGTAACGGTAAATAATGCGTAAATTAATTGTCTACGAAAAGATTCCAATGGTTTTTGCGCCAAAACAAATATTGACCGCTGAAAAATGTATCTATTAAGGAAGGCTGCCTCAAGGCAGCCTTACCAGTTAAAGAGATATTAGGCCGCTGCACCAGAAGTTCAGTTGTGAAACAGAGATCAATTGTGTTAGCAAGTTTTGTAAAGTGTTGTAATTGCTTTAAGGAGTATTGTAAAGTGTTTGTTGTACAATAAAGGGAATTGTACTGTAATTTGGTCATTTCGAGCGTTTATTTAACAATCCAGTAGGCCGTGCCTACTTCTTATTACAACCATGCGCGGTTTGTTTACATTTACACTAATTTAAACTGCGAGGTGAGTTGCAAGTTACAATGAGTATAAAACGAAATTCGCTGTTCGAGTATGAATTTAAAAGACAGAAAGTCAATGATGAAAGTGCTCCTGCACAGCAACAAGACTGCGGGACATCACTTCAAATAGCTGGTCCTTCAAAAATGTTAGAATCTTCAGACGTCAACAGTTTGGACATTGGTGCTTTCTTGGGAATGGTAATAGAAGAAAGCAAAAAATATACCCTTCTTACTTCACCCTGGATGCCTGAAGAATCTTTTCGGTTTAGCGGAACAGGAAAAAGGAATCTAAAGTTCCAACGCCATTGGTTGACAAGGTAGAGCTTGCAATTAATGCTATTTATTATTAAATAATGGAGCCCAATTACATGTGTATGTAGATATGACTGGCTTATTTATACGCAAGCCAAAGGAACAGGTGCGCTTTGCAAATATTGTGCACTTTTTTCTCACGAATGTGCCGGAAAAGGTGCTCATCAACGATTAAAGTCTTTTGTGACTGAACCGTTCAAGAAATGGAAAGATGCCATAGAATCTTTCGAAGCGCACTCAAAATGTCAATATCATGTGTCCAGCGTTCTTTTTGCAGACAATATTTTAAAAACTTGGACGCAGGTGCTCCCTGTCATACGATCGCAGATAGACACCCAACGTGAGGAGCAAATTAAAGCAAACAGGAGTGAGTTAGTTGCAATTATTGAGGTGATTAAATTATGTGACCAGCAAGAACTGGCGTTACGAGGAACGTGTGGAGCACTCGGAAAAGAATCAGAGTACAATGATGGTAATTTACGTGCACTTTTGCGTATGCGAATAGCTTGTGGAGATGAAATTGCGAAATTTCATTTCAAAAATGCAGCTAAAAACGCGACTTATTTAAGCCCGACAGTTCAAAATGAAATAATCGCAACTTGCGGGGAATTAATTCAGCATAAAATTGTGGAAAGGGTAAATGCGGCTAAATCTTTCTCTGTTTTAGTAGATGAGACAACAGATATTTCACAAATTGAGCAAATGTCACTTTGTGTGCGTCATATTGACGTCGGGGATTCTGAAAATCACGTGATACGTGAGGATTTTTTGCAGTTTGTACCACTACAAATTACTACTGGCCATTATATAGCAGAAGTTATTCTAAAAACCATAAAGGCAATAGGAATAGACGCAAACTATATGATCGGCCAGGGATACGATGGCGCTGCGGCAATGAAGGGGAGTTTCAATGGAGTGCAAGCAGTCATTAAAGAAATATATCCTACAGCTTTATATGTGCACTGTTGCTCTCATTCTTTAAATCTGGCACTGGGACATGCTTGTGGAGTTCAATATATTCGGCATTGCTTTGGTGTGGTTAAGACAGTTGCGTCCTTCTTCAAGAAGTCAGCTAAAAGAACACAAATTTTGACTGAAAAAATTAAAACAACATTTCCGGAAGCAAAATCAACTAAGTTAATTTCGATTTGTGCGACTCGTTGGGTGGAAAATCATGATGGCTTACTCAGGTTTAAAGAAATGCTTCCCGCAATTGTTTCAGCTTTAGAGGAGCTTCTTCTTGACCCAGATATTGAAGTCTCTTCTAAGGCCAGCTCATTTCTGAAATCTATAACAAGCTGCGAATTTGTTGTGAGCCTATATATGGCATCTACGGTGTTCTCGTTTACTCTGTCATTATGTAAGATTTTGCAATCACCTTCCTTGGATTTAACAAAAGCAATTGAGCATATCGAAGTCGTGTTACAAGTGATTAGCGATTTTCGCTGTAACATAAATGAAAAGTTCAGCGAAATATTCCAAGAAGCATGCAAACTTTTAACGTCCATCAATGGGGAGATAAAACTTCCACGTATCATCTATACCCAAAAAGAAAGAATGGGTATTAGTAAAAGAGATCCCGAAACTTATTTCAGAGTCACTGTTGCCATTCCTTTTATCGATGATGTTTCTATTCAATTAAGAGACAAATTTGCTCAACACAAATCAATTATTAAAAAGTTTAATTTCTTTATTCCTTCGATTTGCTCTGAAAAAGATATTGTTTTCAACGTCTCTGATGCAAAAGAATTTGAAATTTACAAAGAAATTATTGACACGAAAACGCTTGTCCCAGAGTTTGCTTTGTGGAAAAGAAAATGGAGCCAAGAAGAAATTTGTAAGCGACCAACATCTGCTATTGAAGCTTTAGAACAATGCAATAAGAACTTTTTTCCAGCAATTTTTTGTTTGTTAAAAGTATATGCGACAATGCCGGTCACAACATGCCCAGCAGAACGATCTTTTTTAACACTGAAAAGGTTAAAAACTTTTTTGAGAAATTCGACCGGAGAAGAAAGACTTAACGGCTTAGCCATAATGAGTACTCATCGTCGATTTGATCTTGAAACAGATGAAATAATAAATGATTTCGCAGCTAAAAAGTCCAGACGCCTTAATTTCTTATTACATTAATAGTCAGCATAATAACCAAAATACTTACAAAATTTTCTGGTTTAATTTTTTTTTACTTTGCACAGCTTTTTTACAAGGTAATACGTTGTTCGCTGATATTTGTTTTTAATACCAGCTTTCAAAATATTAAAGATGCTACTTTTAACAACAACTATCAGTTCAACATTACATGCCGTACACCTACAATGAGAATAAAAAGTATTAATATGGCTAATCATCGATAAATGGAAGGAACACTTTATACATTGCTTTTGGCGAAAAAAGGTGCAAAAAAGTAAAATCAATCAAAAAAATCTATTCTTATATTAAAGTACAATATATTTCAAATATATTGGCACTGAAAAACTCATCCGAAAAAGAAATTAGTCTGGCGGTCGAAATTTACCAATTTCCGTGGAATGCTCGTATTACGTATTGGATACTTCTGCTCTATAAAGCAGTTAATCTAGTCATAAGTATGTCGCTAAAAAAAGAAAAGAAAAAACATAATAGAATATTGTGAAATTTATATGCATGGTATCCCGAATCCGGTTATCTGGTAAAATCTCTATCTAGTACATCCCTTATTCAAATATAGCTTACTATCTAAAAAAAGCCATGTAAGTACAAGTTTCAAATTTGTAGAACATTTACAAAAGTTCGCCGCATTTTAACAAATCTTAATAAAAATTTTAAACTTTTTAATCAGATTTTTAGAATTTTTTTGAGCATGCAGTTTTGTAGCCCATTAAATTTTAGTATAACAAAGGGCATTTTCGAAGTACACAGAGAAAAAAGCACCTAATAAAATAGAACAAAACTAGTAAGGTATCTCTATGGTTTTTTGTTAAGAAAATATTCTTCTTATTACCAGAGGAAAAATGTTTTTAATAAAAGCAAAAAGAAAACTTTTATTTTTTATAGGGTTACTTCTTTAAATATATTTAAAAGGAAATCTTATTGTTTTTTTAAGGTGATAGCATTGAACTTAATAATAAGTGGCTCTGTTTGTTTTCATAAGACAAGCTTCTTGATTATATTAAAAAGGGATTCTTATTATTTTCATAGGACAGTCCTCTTGAATTTATTAATAAGGAAATCTTTTATTTTTAAAGGAAATCTTCTTGATTTTTTAAGAAGAATTTCCTTTTATATTCATAAGAATATCTTATTAATTTTTCTTACGTTTTCATAAATAAATCTAAAAGGGTTTATTTTAAAGATTTCATTTATTGATTTTGTTTTAATTTTAATTTTTTGATTTTGACTTAATATATACACATGGATATATGTATACATGTACTTTGGGTTGATAATTATTTGGGACAGTCACGAAAAAACGTATTTGTGAAATATACCTAATTGCAAATTATAACCGGACCACATATTAACAAGTTTTAAGATTTTTTTGTTATTTAATTTGTATTTTTTTTATATAAATATAGTTTATTCTATAAGTGTATGAATGCAAGTTTCAAGCTTTGTGAAACATTTGTGGAATTTTTTTAAATATTGCACAGAGTTTGAAACTTAGATTCATACAGTTTTTGTTAAGGAATTGCTATATTTATATAAAAAATAATAATTAAAATTAAATTTAAAAAATAAATACATTTTAAAACTTGTAAATAAACAAATACATTTTTTCGCGACTGCCTCAAGTAATTTGGTAATCCACAGTAATAAGCTAAGTTACCAATATTTTTTAAGTTACCAATATATTTTGGGTCTTACGACATTGAGATCATTATTTAAAAAATAAAAATGAATAGGTGGACCATCTAACATTGTAAAATTTATAGTGTGATATGTTGTTGTACATTTGTCAATTAGATATGATTGAAATCTTTCTGAAAATGTTAAGTAGCTCCATTTTTTTCTAACAATTTCTAAAATGTTGTCTTTCAATATAAAGTTAACTAATTCATATATATTTACATTTTCGTTTGTTGTAGTAATAATAATGTGGCCAATTTTAAAAACTACTCCTCGAAAAATAACTTCGTTGGTTGTCATATACAAGCTTAAATCTAAATCTAAGGAGGAAAGATGAGCATCTAATTTTAAGTCCAGTATTTCAGTGCTTTTAAAACTATATTCTGGTTGAAAAAAGTTATTTTTTTTAAATACATTGAGACCTTAATGAAGACTTAATTGCTAATGTTAGTGGAACATTTGATCTGGAGGTAATATTTTGCGCATATTGCTTATGCAATTGATGTTCAGCTTCAAAACGAAACTACCATAAATATTTTAATGGCCCCAATTTTCTAATTATATTAGGATAATGTACAAGATTGTGAAATTTTGGTTTCAAGTGGTCCTTAAAAAGTTTTTGATAGGTTTTGTTGTGTTCTTCTATTAATAATTGCAGATTGTTTAAAATAGCATTATCGTACTTGGATAATAAGAGTAAATCAATAAGTTTGACAAACAAAACTAGAAATTTATAAACTAAATCATCTCGATCTATTAAATCACCTATAATGAGCAGTATCAAGTGAGAAAATGTTTTCATTTGTCTAGCGTTCATTTTGAAAGAAGCGTTTTTTATATGACTTTTGAAGTGAAACTTCTTTAGCGGCGGTTGGTTGGTTGGGAGTAAATTGGCAAATTCAGCGGAAATTGCACACGGAAATGATGCAACGGAAATGGTTGGGGCTGAAACAAGTACTTCTTGTGTGTATGCAACGAAAATGATGCAACGGAAATGGTGCAACGGAAGTGGTGCTTCTTTTGTGTATGCATATGGTATTAATTTAACAAAAATTTGCTAATAAAAGGTTAAGGAATAACACTTAGAAAAAGACCAATACAAGAACGAAAGCAAGGGTGACTACGTTCATAAATGAAGAAAAGGATAAAGGCAAAGGTAAAAATAAAAACAAAAAGAAAGATGCGTAAAGATAAAGGCAAAAATGAAGACCAAGGTAAATTTAAACACTTTACTTATATACATAACGGCAAATGTGCAGGGGAACATATAGCTGAAAA